TGTGTCAGAGGCAATGCGATTGGCACAGGATAGAGCAGGGTTTAGGGCTGTTGTACATAGGGTCGCTATGAGTCGCAAACAACTCGACGGCACATAATAACAACAACAACAAATGAGGAATCATATATAACAATCTCTCAAAAAAACTCAAATTCATTGTGTTTGAGTCAAAACTGACTCAAAGCTGAAACACCAGGTAGTTTTTCAGGAGTTGTAAATCTTACAAGAGACTTCCCATATTTCTTTCAAGCAGGTAGCGGATTCGAGTTGCTGCCTTTGTGTTGGCAGCACAACCCACAGAACTGAGTATACAACAATTCAGCTACCTTCTCTTAATTACCTCTTTAATTATTAAAAAATTGCAATAACAGTATACATAAGCAAATAATTTTTAAAAAATAAAAATATTGAAAATGACGTTGTTTTACATTTTTACATAAGAGATTTTTAAAAATATAAAACAATACCATTTTAATATTTTTATTTTGAAAAATATAATTCATTTTCATGATCTTTCTGGTGGCTTAGTTGTAAGGAGTTGCATGGCCAATGGTTTGATTCTACCTGATACTCCATGGTAGAAATATGGGCAATCTCCTCCAATTTTATTTACTGCTGTAGGGTCAGCTATGACTCACTTCTGTCTAAATTATACATAAACAACAACAGGAGAGTAGAAACAATGGAATTATAGTGGCATAGTCTATAGAGAGATAATTTTTAAGGGGAAGGAATTTTTTTAAAAAGTCATAAAAAGATTGCAATCATGAGAGCCAATGAGAATGTTTGATTGTAAAGGATTGTGTAATGAAGGATGTCATGGAGTGCTTTGGTTTTTAAATTCAGATGTTATGTTTTGGAAAAACATACTTCTAAATCATACAGCACTCTTCTGTCAGTTTGCTGTGCTGGGGTAATCTGGTTTGCTGTGATGCTGAGCCTTGTGCCATTTGAGTGTCAAATGCCATAACAGTTGCCCATGGTGAACAGTGTTTGGTGGAGCTTGCAGTTTAAGACAGGTTGGGTAGCAGCAGTGGCATCCACTTCCTAAACTGCATGCCTAAGGAAACTCTACGAACTTGGAAAAATGATGATAGTTATAGAAAGGCTTCAGGTTGCTATGAGTTGTCATTGACTTAAAGACAATCAACAACACCACCACATGTTCATGTATATATACTTGGTTTATTACTGTTTTTGAATGAATAAAATTTTTCAAAATTTACCAATTTTAATTTCTAATATGGTAACAACAATAAGATAAATATTGAGGTAGAAGACAAAATAGAATGAGCTCTACGGCTGTTATTGTTGTTAGTTAGGTGCTGTCGAGTCAAGTATGAACCATAGTGATCCTATGAACAACAGATCTGAACCCTGTCCTATCCTGTGCCTCACAATTCTGGACACACTAGAGCCCACTACATCCGTCTCTGTGTCAATCCATCTAGATGAGGGTCTTTCTCTCCTTCACCAAGAATCATGTTGTCTCTAAGGAATAGCCTCTCCTAGGAACATGCACTTGTTATTCTATATGTGTAGATGCCTAGATCTCCCTTCTGCCCCACAGTTTTTGCAAAGCTCATTAACACTTTCAATTACCACTCCAAGATCTCCTACTCAGAGATTTTTTTTTCCTCTTGCCACACTATTAAAGTATCATCTCTGTCACTGTCTTCCTCTGCTATTTTATTTTCTTCCTAGAAATTATTACTATCCAACATTACATCACTAATTCTCTACTTTCTGTAGTTTGGAGGTTTGTTTTTGGGGGCGTGTTTTTTTCCAGTATTTCAGTTCTATTGATTCTAATTGTTTTAATCTAGTCCTCCTTGGCCTTA